TGTTGTAGTCGTAGGCGACTCGACGGCACATAACAACAGCAACAACAACTGCCAAATTGGATCTGACTGGTACAGTAGACTGCCATTCCTTCTCCAGCAGAGCATCTGGTGGACTCAAACCACGTACCTTTGGGATTGTAGTGCAGCTTCTTGCTACTGGGCCACCAGAGCTCCCTTGAAAATAACTTTTCAATTAATACTAGCATTCCTGACAGCAATAAATTACCACAAAGGACAAATATTTTCAAACTTTTGTTTATCATTTAATAATTATGTTTCCCAAATTAGAAATGCCGACTTGCCTGTTGTGTGTTTGTCTACTTGGCTCTGTATACTGTGAAGAAGTCGACATTGATGCTGTACCACCCTTGCCAAAGGAATCAGCCTACCTTTATGCACGATTCAACAAAATTAAAAAGTTGACTGCCAAAGATTTTTCTGACATACGTAAGTTATTACTATTTAACTAACAATGGATTTACAGGTATTGGTGGCCCATTTTAAGTAACTACTTCACCTACACTTTACAAGCTTTTTATCTGTGAAGATGGAGCTTTGCTGACACAGGCTGCACTGAGCTCCACACCACAAACAATGCTCTTCCCCACAGTTCCCCCAGTGCTCGGAGGGAAAGAGAGAAAGACCCAGTCTCTACCAAGGGAAGGACACTTTGAGCCAGAACAAATTCAATGGCAGAGTAAAATGGTTTCTTGGTATATTTCCTTGCTATTCATATGTCCTCATCATCTTTCTCTAATGATGATTTGGTTCTAGGTTGACAGCCCATTATCACTACAGAAACCTCAGTGATCACAACTCCAATCCTGTCAGCAGCAATGATGAAACTGTGATCCTCCTTCAATCACAGTTTCACTCTGTACTTCCACAATAAAAATCAAAGATATGGCTTTGCCTTATTTTTCTCCTGGTTCTTAACTCTAATTGTGTATTCTAAAATATGTAGGGAAGCACTTTACTGCCAGCCTTACTCCACAGCAATGATCAATAGCCATACTGAACGTTACATAATTCAACTTTTTAAAATGCATACTTTAGAGTTTACATAGTTTGCAGCAAGAAATTTTTTCAAAATACATGAGCATCCTGAGGCATTAAAATATATTTTAGGGCATTATGTTTATCATAAGAGTACGGAATGAGGGTTGCAGAGTGGATTATATTTGGGGTTG